CCCCAGCCCCAAATGCAAATTTGGGGATTTTGGGGGAGGTTGGTCTGGGATGCAAAGGGACTTGAAACAGCTTCTCACAGAGAATTTCTATTAGGTGGGACAAGACACGACCCGATTTTAAAGAAATCATCGGGTTGTAAAAGGATTCCCATAAAATTGGCTTCTTGTTTCCTTCACACCTTGTGTGAATAACAACCGGGGGGGGGGGGGAAAAGTCAAGGAGCGTACGAAAACAAAGATCTTTCCAATGGAAAATAGAGAATTGTTGTTAAAAAAAAGAAAAGTGAGACTAAGAATGAAATAAAATTTACAGCAACCCACCTGTTTGGTTTGAAAACAAACTTTTCACGGTCTCTCCTCAAACTTTTCCCTTGAGTTAAAAAGCAAAGCTGCTGTGTTAATCCTCCTGTTTATTGATTTATGATCCCGAGGAAACCAAATCTTTTAATAACTCAATTATCAGATAAACGTCTGAGGTGCCCCGCCAACACAAGTAGTTGGGCTGGGAAAGTGCAGGGGAGCAGGAAAATGCCTTCCAGCGGGAGGCTGAGTTTAGTTTTGGGGGGACCTTATCAGCTCAGCTGATAGGAGCCACGGAGCAATGGATATTTCCCTCTGGGACCAGCACTAGGCTAGCAGGAAGAACACAGATGGATATACTCCCATGCCATGTTTTCTGCCTGTTTGCATTTAAATCAGAAGCCTCGTGGATTTTGTCTCCGTACTTTGGGGAGCAAATGGGGGGCATCCCACTGAAATCAATGGGAATTTTACATTTGGCTTTTTTTCGCCTGAGCGAAGCACAGCCTGGCATTTGCAGTGTGTCTCTTCCAGGTAGAAGGCACGAGGGGCAGATCCAAAGTTGCCAGGAGTCAACTGAAACTCTTCCCTCAACCTTCTCAAGGTTTAGGTCCTGGTCCCGGTGACCCAACCTGAGCCTAGGGGAGATTTCAGCAGCAGCAGCAGGATCAGGCCCTCACACATGTGTGAGCATGTGCACATGTGTGTGCAGGTCTTCCCCCAAGAAGTTGCAAGTGGTTCCCTCTCCTCATTAACTCACAGTGGTGGTGGGATACTGTCTTCTGCAGTTACAAGGGGCATGCCAACATCCCCCCAAAGACAAGGAAGGACCATCCCCAACATCCCCCCAAAGCCTTCAGCTGGAAGCTCTGGGGTGGCAGGGAGCAGGTCCCCATGTCCCTGCGTGGGCAGGTGGGGAGGTGGAAAACCGAGAGCTAACTTGGGGTCTCCCCACACCCAGGAGCCCCACTGGGCTGGGTGATGCTGAAGGGCTGGGCCCATGGGCTCTTCACAAAGGCTTTTTGCAGAGGGCAGGCAAAGTAACGTTCAACACTCTGTGCTCTGCTTCAATAAACAGAATCTTTTCACCTTTCAGGTGGTGCCACTCATTCCTCCCCAGATACACACACACACACACACACACCCCTTCCCTTTCCCGCACATCACTGCTAGGGCATGCCCTGCACTGGAGCTTGGATTGTCCTTCCCCAGGGGCCTGCTGAAATTGGGGGTGGTTGGCAAGGGGTAGGCTTTGGAGGACCAGGGGCTGCCTGGGGGCTGCTTTTCAGTCTGGGGGTCCCTAACCTTACGGGTAGGGGATCCATGAGCTCTACATCACCCAGGGATCCACACCTCCTTTGGTGACATCCCCAGAGGCGTGCCAATTACCCAACCCACTGCCAGGGACCTGCCAGCATCAAAGACTACCTCCAACTCATCCCAGCAGCCCATGGAGAAGGCTGCCTGCCTCAGTTTCCCCCTTTTCTCACGTGAGATTCCCCACAGCACTCTGCCCCAGAAGAACCAAAGGTACACGAATGAGGAGCAGCTCCAGAAGAGTCAGTGCTCCTTGGGGCTGGATGATTCCTGGATTTCTATTGCTACACACATGTCTAACTCACAGGTAGGGAACAAAAGCTGAGACCTTCATTTGCTGCACGAAGATTTGAAAAGCAGCGCAGGCCCTCAGCTGTAGCCATTTCTCAGATGTCTAAGGACACTAAGGGTGACAATCAAGAGGCTCATTTGCTTTTTTTGTTTTAAGAAAATTTTGTTGGGGGATGTTGAGAGTATTGCTGAATTATTTCTCCCTCACCATCCACTTTGGAAGGTATCTAGAAACTAAAACAAGGCTAAGCCTTCGCTTCTCTCTCTCTCTCTCCCACCTTGTTCTGAGTTCAGGTGTGCCCGCTTGGGTGGGTGGGATTGAGTGCTGCAGCTTTAACAGGGATCCCAGGAGGGGGAACTGACCCCGCTGGAGTTTTGCCAGGGACTCCAGGAGATTTACCCACACCCAGTAACTGTTCTGACATAAGCAAAAAGATGTGTTAGTGCACGAACCCTACCCCACTGAGAAAGACATGCAATTACCCACTACGGCAGAATCCAAACAGAAATTCGTATCCTTACACTTCAGCATTATTTTTACCGTAGAAGACAAAGAAATGTATGTTAAAAAAGAAAAAAAGGAAAGAAATCAGACTCCCCCTCCACCCCACCCCCCCAAATCATATGCATAAGACATCCTGTCACACACCAAACCACCAAGAAAAACATCGGAGTTACGAAGTTTTTTCCCCCTACCACACCGACTCGTTCTAAAGCAAGAGTCACAAGACATTTTTTTAAAAGCTTTCTGAGAGAAGCAGATTTCCTCAGACTGAGCTCAGAAATCAGGATATTCCCTGGCAAGCCCTCCCCACTCCCATCACGAGGAGCCAGCTCACATGGCAACCCTTTCCTCCCTGGGTACAAAACCCTAGTGCCAAGCAAGTGCGGTAACATTCAACACAGCTCTTATTTTCTCTGCAATATTACACCTTGATTTCAACTTATATTTTTACCTCATTCAAATTATTCCCTTTGAGCTTCTTTAAAGAAGGGCACCTACAGAATTCGGAAACAACTGGTTTTGATTTGAAAAAGCAAAAAAAAAAAAAAGAAAAGTATCAGAATATCAGAATTGTGGATTTTTTTTCTCTGTACCTGATATATTGTGTAGGGATCTCTAGTCCTCTTTGAAGAAGCTCATAAGCCAAGCGGGCAAAGCTTGAGGAAACAGAAGAAAATAAAATAGTGCATACTCCTGAGAAAGAATTACATACTCATATCACTCATTTTTTGTTGTTGTTAACAGTTCTTTAAAAACGGGGGAAGATATCTCTCACACACACTACTCAAGGAAATTAAGGACTGAAATATTGGCATAGTTAGGAATATAAAACTCCCTAGAGAAAAAGAGGAGATCTCAGAAAATTAAGAAATCGGATAGCGCTGACATTTTACCAGACCTTACTTTCAAATTTTGCAACCCATTATAGGCAAGGCATTTTACCATCAAAGGCAAGTACTAAATTATAAAGGTATGTTTGCATGCATGAATATGTGTGGCTATACACACATATTTTATATATATATATGTATATATACATATATATACATATATATACAAACATACATAGGATACACACGCACCCTTATCAAGTTATGTGTGTGCATACGCATATGCACACACATACGCACACACGCGCCCATACACACCTGTAAACGCTGGTAATCTAAACAGGGAGTCTGTCTAGACCAGGAAAACCAAAAAAGTCCTTAAAAAATAGAGTTCGCTAATTTGACTGAGCTACGACGACTTGAAACTTCCCGTCTAATGGCATCTAATGTTAAGAGGCTGCCACGAACGCAGCTCGAACTGGCTGGTGTTGATGACTTCGTGAGAGGTCTGTGCGCTCGCCTCCCCTCCTTTCCTGGTCTAGACAGAACCAGGGTGGTGAGATGAGATGGGGAGAGTTGGGAGGAATGAGGCGATGGGGTTGCTCAGAAAGGAACACTCTGAAAGATCATTTTAGGTGGAGACAGGACGTCATTTGAAGAAAAAAAAAAAAATAAAATAAAAATAATAGCAAGACAGACCGTGCAGCTCAAGAAATCAAAGCACTGACACCAAAAACGTTTCTCCGATTTCTTCCAAGAAGTTATTCATTTCTTTCTTTTATTATTATTATTAATTATTATTATATTCCCCTGCCCCCCAAATCATTATTTAAAAAATGTGAAAGAACAGAAGTGGGAAAAAAATCCTGGTGGTTGTCTTCACATGTTCCTGGCAAGAGACTCTGAACCACTGGTCTTGCGCCATTGTGCTCCTCTGATCTTAAATTATTGTCTTTCTTTTATTATTGTTATTATTATTTTTATTATTATTATTATTATTTTGTCCTACCTAATAGAATTCTTCCAAAGCCCAATTCAGTATTTTTAAAGCTAAAATTAAGACGGTTTTGTTTTAAAAGATTATCTTTCTCTTTTCTCCTTTTATTTATTTAACTTTTTTCTTTTCCTTTCCTTTTTTTTTTTTTTTCCTCTCTCTCTCTCTCATTTTCTGTGTTTCTCTTCCTTGTCTCCAGTTTTACTACCTGGTCCTTCGCCAGATGTGTGCCTGTTAGCAGTGTTGTTGTTCAAGAACATCTTGTCCATGCCTTTGAGAGCTTCAGTCAGGTAGTTGAGAAGGGCCGTGAGGGCAGCGCAGATAGCGGGGGCCCCAAAGCCGTGAGTGATGAGGCTGAAGTGAGTCAAGCAGCTCTGAATGCCCGGTTCCAAAATAGGGGTGGGCCGGCTGTTTCCAATGGGGGACCTTGCCCGGGGAGAGATCTGTAAATTCTTTACAAAGTTGCCTGCACGGAAGACAGAAAGGCAAAGAGAGGAAGAGAGAGAGAGAAAAGTGATGGTTAGGCTCATCCCACACTTCTCTCAGACAATCAAGGTTGAAGGAAGGGGCAGGTTCAGGCCAAAGGTGATCCCAAGCCCCAGGATGGGACCTTTTTGCCACCTTCCTTTCCCCCAGCAGTGCTTGGGGACCAGCCATGGTGAGCCAGCAGCTCCCTGCTCAGGATGCTGTTCTTCAGGAGAGAAGTTTCTGCAATTGCAGGGTAACACCAGGTCTGGAGATAGAAATCTCTACGGCAGCCACAAGGATGCTTCTGAAGCACTGTGAAAACCCAGCCCTGCTTGGTGGCTCTAGAAATAACCAGGTTGAAAGGGAGATGTGTCATGGGTCTGCCAACCACCCGTCTTCTTGGAGGCCTGACCCTGGCTCAAAGCAGCTCGCACAAATGCTGTTCCTGGAGGAACGCACGACCATGCACCGAGAGCTACTGGGTGGCACAGGGACATGGTGCAGGGAAGGGCCAAAATGGAGCCTCCTCTGAGACTGCTCAGGCTGGGCCACCCTAAAGAGAAAGATCAGGACTTTGGGACTCCATGCTGGCTTATTCATTACATGAAGAGCAAAGCTAGTGTTTTCTATTTTATTTTGGGGGGGTGGCATCCCACCTAACACATCAGAGTTGGCATCTGGCTCTTGTTTGTTTGCCCACGCCTTTGCAAAATCAGATTTGATTTTTAGAATGAATTCCCCCACACACACACTTTCTTTTGCATTGCTCTGGTCCGAAAGGCCTTCGAGTCAACAGGTGCCCGGGCAATGTAGAAACCCTGGGGGCTGGTGGGGTTCCCAAAGGAATTGTTTCTTCGAGACAGATGCCAACCCAGGGACTGGAGAAAAAAGGGCTGGAATTAAAGACGGAAAAAAGAGACCCTTAAAAAAGGCATTCAGCTCTCATCCTCTGAAATTCTCTGAAATTCCCAGTGGGTTAAAGGTTTCAGAGGGTGGGGAAAGATAAAGGTCTACTTCTATGTGTATTATCCATTAAGAAAGTGCAAGAGAGGAAACTTTGAATTTGGAGAACAAACAGTAATGAGTCCAACATTTTACATCTTCAAAGAGCAAAGCAGGGTCTGCGAGCAATTAAAGTTCTGGGACATTAATATCTTCTGACCCTGCGGAAAAGGGCAATCAAATTCCAATCACGTCTAAAAAACATCTGGACAAATTTGAGCAAATGATTTTTCAACCCTCCATATATTTCTTTAAATTACACTGTCATCGGAGGCAAGACACGTCCCAGAGCATGAAATAAATGAAAGCTGTTTGGGCTGGTATTTTTTTTTTT